GCCCCCAGCAAATCGAACATCATTTGTATAATATGTTTATAGACAGATGCAAATGAAATTAGTCCTGAGGGGTTTAAGATGTGACACTGAGGACTGGCATGAGCTTCCAAGATGCCCAGAAGTACTTTAGAAAGTGGGATACTTGTAGGTTTAGGATTTTCTATAGATGACATGACAGCTGAGAGATGACTCTCAGAGCTTAGGCACTTATGTGCCATTAGAGATTCAACCATAAATCATTCTGAAGAGGAAACTTGGGTCCCTGAGTGGCCTAAATATGGTGTGGATTCTTCTCTGTAGTCTGATCAGAGCTGCACAATATATTTTGCATTTAGACATGTCAGGAAAAAGTGTTTCTCTGCAGGATGGATGGGTTGTGTCAGAGGAGCTGAACACTCAGCATGAGCACCTTCACACTAACCTTGCACCTACTCAGAGGAAGTTTGGAAGAGGGTAGGGGAATGCAGGAGACAAACAGGGCAAATTCTAAATGGAATCCACCTCAGTCCAACCCTACCACAAAAAGCACAAATAAAACAAACCAAAAAATCCCTCCAAATAAATTGCAGTCCTTTTTTTTTTTTTTTTTTTTTAAGGTAGAGTTTGCCTCCCACTGGATGTGTGAGATTTGTTCTATCCTGTTTCAGTGTTTGTCTTGAGCACTTTGTGTTGCTCTTCCATTTAACACACCTGTGCTGTTGATAGGAAAGGCTGACATAAGGGAGCATTAATCTGGAGACTAACTGGGCTGAGACCAGTTAGGTGAATGAACTTGACTTTGCAGGTGGCACTGTGCTGACCTCTGCCAGCATGAAAGGTGACTGGGTTCGCAGCATTTCGAAAGGCTGCTATGAATGGAGAGGTGATTCATGTTGGGACGTAAGAGGAGGTGGAGGAGGCTCTCTCAGGAAAATAAACCCATAAAGTGAAACATTTCACTTAATTAAGCAGCCCCATTTACGGTGGGGAGATCAAAGGAGAGAGGAATTGGAGAAGCAAAGAATGCAGTCTATCCCATAAAAAATCAGGTGAAAGAGGAAGATAATTCTAAAAATAACAAGGGAAACCTGTGCAACCCTCAATGTTTTATGAACACACTTATTAAAGAAGCAAAACTAACCAGACAGGAGGAGAGGGGGAGGCTTTTTGGGAGACAGTATTTCTCTGTGGCTCAGCCAAGTCCCAATGGGATGGACACTACATCTCCATCAACCTGTGCACCGGTTTAGCAGAAGAAATAAAGGAAAGGGTTTCACTGAAGAAAGGGAGAAAAAGAAATAGAGAAAGAAAACAATGAAAAAACTTCATAGGAGAATCTGAAGGCTTGTAAGATAACTTGTTTTAAAAAAATACACAAAGAATTCAGGAGCGCAGGGCCATCTTCAGATCTGGATTGAAAGAGGGGAGACATAAAAAACTACAAATGGACAAAAGCAACATACTGAGCTGTTTCTTCTTGCAGCTAAGAATTGTCTTAGAATGCAAAAATCACACTTTGCTGATCCAGAGCTTTGTTCTGAAGATTTGGCAAATCAGATAGTAAAATATCTAGATCTATCAACAATATTTGGTGTTGCCTTGGATAGAAGTTGGAGTCCTAGGTTCTGCAGTAGATCAGACTAAGTGTTAATCTGCATCTTTAAACGCTGAAATCCCTCTAAAAATCTGACCTCAATGACATTTACTCACCACCAATAAAATGAAGATGACTCCTTTGTATCCCATCAGAATTTCCAAATGGGCACTGTGAGTTGCTGTTTTACTGAAACAGTTAGAGATAAATAAGTAGGATACAAATGTTTTTCCTCCTAATTCACTGAAAATCTTGTTCAAATGCCTTCTGTGATTACTGGGAGAGTATTATGAAAACTGTTTCAGAATACAGAACACACTTTAAAGGAAGTCCTTGATTATTTCTTTATCAATTGACAATTTCCAGCGTGAAACTCTTTGAGACTGGAAGAAAACTGGATCTGTTATCTGGGCACAGCTGCAGACACGCAAGTCCAATTTTTAAATAGCTAAAGAACACAGCAAAATCTCCCTTGGTTTTCAAATCGCCCTTTGTGATGGAGCTGCCTGCTGAATGCTTTTTCCGTCTCTTTGGCTTTTTCCAGCTTTCAAACTGAAATAGTTTTGAAGCCCTGCCTCTGCTTAATTCCCACTATTTGAATTTGCTCTTCAATACCGCTGGGAGAAGTTAGTGTGAAAGAGCTGTACATTTTACAGTGTCAGTTGCGTACAGGGTGTCTGATCCCCAGTCGCCCTGCCCAGGGGTCCTCCAAGGACGACAGAGGGCAGGCAGACCAGGGGCTCTGCTGCCTGCGCGGTGCTTAGCATTACCAAGGCATGATATCATGGCCATGTTGGGAGTTTATCGCTGACACAAATTGCCACAGGAAGCATTTTGTCAAAATTTCAATATCAAAGTGGTCACAGCCTCTATAGTGAACAGCTTTATTTACTTAGGAGATAAAGGCAGCTGAGCAGAAAGTTAAATTAGGGTAAGCAGTCTCCTGCTTCTGTATAAATGCTGAAAGGAAGTCAATGCGTCTCTCAAAGCCAAACATCAAAGGAAATGCATTTCCTAGTATATCCAGTTTTAGAATTTAGCGATAACTTAAAATACAAGAAATATAAAATCAGGGCGGTGCTGGCTATGCTAACTATAAGCAACACTTAGGACTTAGGTAAATCTTAAATATTAAAAATGTTCTAGTAACTTAAAAAAGGATTTGTTACCTCTCTTTGGCTTTGTTCTGAGCATTCCTGAACCACCTCATCGCTGGCAAGAAATGATTAAATTAATCTTTAAAGAAGAGCATTTCAGCATTCACACTGCAGTGTTCTGCAGCTTCTTTTCCTTACCTTTGAGAACTGCGCTGTATTTTCAGATCCCAGCCTAAATCTGTTCAGCATTCAGAACAGATGGTCTTTGGTACAGCCCATTATAAGATGAGAGCATGGCAAGAATCTACTGATTTGGATAATCTATATTATACTAAACTACAGAGCCTGAAGTATGTTGCAGTCCAGCTCTCTAAGACAAAAGATAAATAAGTATGAAGCAATACATTTACCTTATCTACATAGCAAATATTACAAATACATTTCTTGTGAGACCTTTCTTCAGTAAAATCAACTTCCCTAGCAGTCCTTGGTCAGACAAACTCCTACATAAATCCACTGAGTATGGAGGTCCTAAGGATTTTATGAGACCATTTTCTCACAGCTGTTATCAGGTGCTTAAAGGAAGCATTTGGAGAGTTAAGGGAAGGGGTGGCTTATGGAAAATATCCCTTTATCTTTAAGCTTTCCAACTTTTAAAATACTTGCAAGCATGGATATTCAAATGAGTGATAAAGATCAGCACTGACATGCTTCAGCATGACATGTTTCCTTCCTTGCGAATCCCAGCTCAACCATGTGATGGCTAATACGCTCAAAAATGCAATGAGCTTATGACCCGTCTATCTCTGCAGAGTGTTCATCCTTATGGGGCACTGAGTTTTGCAAGAGAGTTATTTTAATCTCTTTAGATGCCATGGGACCAGCTATTGTTCTCACTGGCACCATTTTTGTACTTAAAACCGAATACATCTGCAGTTCTTAACCAGTAATGGAGTTGCACATGCTTAAAAAAACACCCCTAAAATTTAAATGTAAGCTTCTTTTCTGGGGGCACTATATATTCTGCATGAGACAGTGATTCATAAGCCTGCAGTGCCTAAATTGTCTAAATTAGGAGGGCAATTGCTCCAGCAACACAGATCCTAGGCAGGCCAAAACAATCTCTGGAGCTGCCCTAGTCTTTACAGAGAGACCTTCTCTCTGCGACTCGCCTGCAGTTCAGAGGAGGGACCCAGAGCTCACAGCCTGACCTGCTGAAGCCTGGGACCACCAAGTGCAGCAAACAGCATGGGCTTGGGCCATCCATTGGAAGGATGATGAATAAAACATAGAGACACAAGAAAATGTGTGAAAAGAAGAGCTAAATAAGCGAGATAAGTTGGCTTGAAGCCACTGGTTACAACAGTGCTGATGTCAGAGATGTGGTGCGGAAACTCCCAGGTGGCTTCTAGGCAAGGTACCAGCAGCAGTCCAACCCCAGTAGCAGCTCAGTGCATGGCTGGATTTATGCAGGTGCTTAGTACCAGTTTACTGAATATCTGGCTGAGACAATAGATATTATCAAGGATAACTTTACATCTTACTCTTAAATCATTGCTCTTTTACATTCTACATACAAGGAATTGCTCAAAGTTGTGATGACTTTTTAAATATATGCATTTTTTGGAAATTTCCTCAGTTGTAATGTAGGTCTGTGCTTTTCCAGATTTAATACCAAGACAGAAGTGGGGGAAGAATCCTTTAATAATTATTTCAAAATTTTCCTCTCTGTTTTGGCCTAATTGTTATATCTGAAGTCTAAGAGATAGGGATTTAGAAGTGTTTCCATATATTAAACTTCTCTTTTCTTCCCATCACTTATCTTTCATCACATAACAACTCCAGCAACTAACTCCTCCTTTTACTTCGAAACACAACACATGCACAAACACACATAGTAGAATCAATTACCATATCTCAAGGAACAGGATTTTAACAGGCACAAAGATAACAGAAACACATAACTTCAAAAAAAAAAAAAATCCTCATTATAAGTTAATACTCTATAAACAAATGCCTTTGGCCTTTTACAAAGTGTTGGTGCCTTAGAGGTGTTCCCAACAGGTAGAAATACAGTGGTACCATAGGAGACCACAATATGACAGACAATCAGGAAATAGACAGTCTGGACACAAAATTATCTCGAAACATGGAAAAATGTATATATACACCTACAGAGTAGGTAGAAGTCTCAGCTGTTAACAGAAGGGAAAGGATTGAGAGGATAATTTGAAACATCCTGAGTGGAAAATATAAATTACCAGTCCAGGGAGGGCTGTGAAGTATGGTTGCTTTTGAGCAAAAATAGATGTAATTAAGGAGACACTTACTGTACCAGGTCTGGGATATGGGATGCGACCTTCATATTGTACCCACCGATGATCCACACTCTCTTTGTGAGCATAAGGGCCATTGAAAACAGCTCTGATATCTGCCATGCTGTACACACAGACTGCAGAGCCCTTGAAGACAGAGCTGGAAAAGAAGATGGATTGATATTGCAAATATCTCTTCAGAGCATATCTCATCCAGTGAAATAATTCCACAGAGTTTAAGGGGGCTTGGATCAATCCTACACACGAGTTTATAAAAATGGTGCTAAATAACAGACAATGTGCACAGGTCTGATAACTGCAGATATTTAATGTCACCATCATTACAGTTAAAACTTTGGTCTGTTGAAACATGGACTCAGCCTTTGGGACCTGCCATTTTTTTCAAGTGGTTAACAGTTTCCCACTATTATTCACTGGATGCTTTGATTAGAATTTTCTTCAAATGGAGGACATTCCTTTACATTGTGTTCACATCTGGAAGTCTGTATATTAGTGATATTACAGGTGATATGCCTGAGAATTACAAGCTGTATTGGACAGACAACACAAAGAGATAGGAACAAGCATTTATTTATTTTTCTGAGTCTTCCTCCTTTCTTTTTTTACATATTTTTCTTAAAAAAAACAAACTTTGAGCGATTCAGTTTTCCAAATAACACCATGCCAGGCTGTTCAGTGGCATGTACTTTAATTATCTCCTATGCCATTTCATTCTTTGTGCATAAATTTATTCAATTTTAAGTATTTTAGGTGGTTATATATTCTATGGAGTCACTGCTTCTTGGTTAAGGAGTGCTTTGGCAATTCTTCATGGTACTCATACTGTTCAGCATTTGGCTAGTCCTTATTATTTACACTTAATCCAAAGATTATGGAGACAAAAGAAAGGATACTTTATTTCCTTTCTGACAATTTTATATAGAGCACCTCACTAGTGAAGTTGAAAGGTTCATTAATTAATTAATCTATCCCCTTAAGATAAAGATGGGCTAGTCTTTCACCACTCGTGTCTATAAAAACACTGAAATATCACTTTAGAACATAGTGGGTTTGGATCCTAAGAAACAGTGTATGTCAACTTCTTGCTTCCAAAAATGATGCTTCACAAATGTGATTTGTCTTAAATAGTAACTATTGGTTATTCAGTAAATATGATTGAAATTCATAATTTCAACTAGAAGAGAATGAAATAAACTAGCATGCTTATGATTGTTAAATTCTCATTATTTTTATAATTCTCAAAAGACAGACACACAAAGGTTTAGGGTCATAATTTATTATTTCCTTTCTGAACATGTTTTCCTTTGTCACTATAGCCCCAATACTGCAAGCCTTATTCAAGCAGTCTCTCACTGCTCTCAGGGATAAGGATCTAGTAATAGACGGGTTTACTAAAAGGCCTGAGAAAGATCTTCAGCATTTGTTTCCAGAGGCAAACATGATCCTAACAAATACCTTGTTGTAGTGAAGACTCCATATACAAGTGGGTTTCTCTCGTCTCTTGTAGAAAGTAAGAATATGTCTCCTGCAATGGGAAATATTTATTTTTAATTAAGCATCCACTGAATATTTCTGCATTTACCATTTATAATTTGGAGAATTTTAAATATATAACAAAGCTTTATTACTGTCCAAATTTTAATTTCTGCCATGTGAATTTGTGCTAATATTCTGAAATTTGTTCATTTGCAGATAGTCTGGGTTTTATATAGAATCAGATTTCCACTTTCTAGCTACTGCAGTGAAAGGGAAAAACCCCGTATCTCATATCAGACTAATTCCAGTTATCGTCAGGGACTTGTGATGAAAGTCAAAGATATTACAAGCACTGTTTGAAAGAGGAGTAAAATCAGAACAAGACATAGTACTTCTACAAACAAACAAACAAACAAACCAACCCCCAAGCCATAGTGATGTCAAAATAGACCATTAAAGATAAAGCAACTCACGCAGCTCATCAAAATGTGTATCTGCTCCTTCAGGACCAGGTATCGAACACACAAGTCTGGCTTTCAGAAAGGTAGTCCACTTGTTTATTAGGCTCCTTTGACCTCCCATATCATTCTAATAAAAATGAAATTAAGAGAGTTAAATATTAAAGAAATAAGAAGAGTTTTAACATATGATATTTGATGGTAGCGCAATATTGACGGTGCTTCTTCAATCTGATTCCACGGTTTGATCTTACCACAGAAATGACAGTCTTTTTTTCTTTTTTTTTTCCAAAACCAGTGTTGGGCAGCCTTTTTGTAAAGCCAAGTAGTGAGAAACACAAATTTCCTAATTGTACCCAAATCTGTTTGCAAAATTCTCTTCCCAGCTCTACAGCTGGCATAATGTGAAAACATATTTCTCTATCATGTGATTTCTTCTTCCCTGTGATGCTAATTTTGGCAATCTGTTGTTCTTCTGGAATTCTTTACAAACCCCGTAATAATACAGAATATTTTGGATAGATTTCTCAAAAAAGAAAAACTACATTCATCAGCAGTTCTTGCAATGTAAACACTGTGCTGTTTGTCTTGTGTACACAGTACAGAGAGATATGCATTCCAGGAGAAACCAGTCATATTATTTTAATAATCATTGTTATGGAAATATCAGCCTATCCTCCACAAAAGGGATTTTTTTTTCTGTTGTTGTTTATTTTACTATGGGTTTCCAAGACATGAGCATACTTGCACAAATTTATTTTAGTCACTGGGGGAAGAAAAATATCTATAAAGGGTCACTTGAAAATTGAATTACTCTTCAGAAGGGTAGGTGTCCTTCTGCTGACTTGGGTCAGTAGAGGGGTGTGGGGAAAGTGGATATTAGAAGAAAGTTTTGAATTTTAAGAAGCTCGAACTAGGAGTTTGCTTAGGAGTTTATCTCCTTCCACAGAGTACATGAACAATCTAATGAATGACATTTATCTATCTCCTTTGGCCCCAGGTAACAGAACTATCTAGGTTCCACAATCCTATTATGCTCCTTTTTTTTTTTTTACCCCCACACTGAAAACTGTAAAAGCAATGATATTCCAGCAGGAACCAAGAAGTCAAATACTTAAAAGAAATGTTATCACCACCAGTAGTCTCCCACCCCATGAAGGTGTCTACTTCTTTTCATTTACAAACTCTGAAGCTTAAAGGGTCTCTGCTGTGAATCTGAGCACTACAAATGTGTTCATAAATATCCATCCCCTCTGGATTCATAAGGAGAAATCTTTCGTTTTTCTTTTTTTTTTTTTTGTTAATTGGCTTTGCAACTCTGAAGGTATAGAACCAGCTAGTAGGAAACACCAGGTGATGGAAATTACGTGGTATTTCCATAGACTGTATTTGGCCTCTTAGAGCTGTATCATAAATATTACAGCCATGCAGAAAGATGGTTTTAAGTGCTGAAATTCACTTCACAAGGAGTAACATTTCTCTGGTGATGCACTCTAACCATCTTCGCTTTTCACGTACTTGCTACTTTTAAATAGTTTAGCTCAGTTGGAAATGATTCCTGTTAATATATCGCCTTTGGAACTCCTGTTCTTAAAAGAATTGCTACCTCCTCTCTTGATTTCCTGAGGTCCTGCCAAGCCTGAAGCTTTGCATCCAGCCAACAGATTTATTACAAAGGTGTCAAAATTAGCAGCCTGAAGCCAATGCGAAAGAGAAGGTCTGCATGTGTGTGTTCTGTTCAAAGGCATGGCGGATAAACTTTGTGGTAATCAAAGCCAAACAATTACAAAGATGCAACAAAGAATCTTAAAAAGCAAGAGGCGTTAAGCTTTTCCTTCCTCTGGCAATTTGGATTAGCTAGGTAATTCTCATGTTGCAGGGCTTCCACTTTGATTTCTGGTGGATGCAGTGCAGCATCACAGGAGATGAGATGTCTCTAACCACCTGGCTAGAATCAGAAAGTGTGGAGGAAGCAAGATGTGATGGGGCTGGAATGGAAAAATCACCCTTGCCTAGCTCCAGCTCCTGTCTTTGCAGGCACTCAGTTTCTGCAAGAGATGGGAAAATACGTACTTGTGTTTTACCACCCTTAAGTCACGATCCAACACAGCATATTCACAAATGCTTATTTTAAATATATCAGCAGTTCCACTAAGTTCGTAAAGAATAATGTGAACCAAATACTGCACTTAGAGAAAGCAGACTCAGCAAGTGCTATGTGCTTTAAAGTGTAAGATTCCACTGGATTTAAGGTGTATCCATATTTCCTCACTCCTAAGCCAGGATACAATGTTAACCATGTTACTTGAATTTAAGAGTCATTAGAACAGACATCCACTAGGTGTGCCTTACATAGCCAAAAGTTGCCAATAAAACTGTACGGTTTGTAAAGGACGAAGGGGAATTCAATGATCAGCCAGCACTCCATGATCTACCAAGTCTTTCTGAAGCCAGAGAGTGACAAATTTATGGTGCAGAAATGGAGAGACTGAGAAGACCTTTCCCTCATTTGACAGCTGCACATGTAGCATGCTGACATATTCTGATAACACACTTCTTCCTATTGTAATGCCTGAATGAAACAAAATGTACGTTTTATTAGGAAGATGGTTTCGTTTGTACTTTTGGTGGGTTTTTTGGGGGTGGAGGGGTTAGTTCATGGATTTTTTTGGTTTGGTTTGGGGTTTTTTAGTAGCCATATGGTACTTTTCAGTTCTTTGTATCATCTCTGAATAATACTGTGGTTTGTGCTCTCCTAATATGTATCCAGGACTGAGAAAATCCAGGAATTGACAAAGGCTGCAAAAATTTTATCTAAAGGTAGAATTAACTCAGCTCAGGCCAAGGAGGTTCAAAAACTATTAAAAGTATAGGCATATCTTTGCTCCTGGACTCGCAAGTAGTAGTTTTTTTACTAAGCTCTGGAAATCTCAATTTTTTGAAGAAAGTGCACCCCTTCCTTCCCAACAGTATTTTTTGGTGCACATTAGGTCAGTCTTTGACATGTCTTCAGGATTCATATGCTGGAGAACATGCGATTATTCTGCTTTCGTTCAGACCATGGTGGCATGAACTCATTATCTTGGCATCATTATCTGCCTAATCTGTAGCAGATTCCATCACAGTTCATGATTATTGGCTTCTAAGAGGATGGACAAGGGACATATTGGCCCCAAATAATTTTGAGACAATCTGTTCTGTGTAAAAGATCATGTAATAATATCAGTCTGCAATGAATCGCTGATGTGGTCAAATGCTGTGAGATGGATGTAGGGCACAACATTGATATAATAAGGTGTATGGGCTGGGTAGTCAGTGGATTGGAAAAAAAAATGGATGGAAGAGAAAATCAACAAAGTAAAGGCCAGTCAGTGTGTAGGTGAACAGAAATAAGGATTCAGCACAGAATCCTAAGAAGACCTCTGGACTGATTTACACCAAGCAATGAATTGCCTCAACTCAGCTGGAAGTGTGTGGTAAATTTGATGCACTGAAATGATTGTGGACAACAGACACTAGGACTGAAGACAATGCTAAATGTTTCAGGGAGCTGAGACAGGAAGACAAGATAAATTTAAGTGCTGAGAGCATGAGCAAGCCTTTCATTCCAAAATTATGGCTAATCTACTTGTAACAGATGAGCAGCCACAAGTATCTGAAATCTCATCCCACAAAGTATCACTTCTAAGAGCAATGGATTAGAAGTGTTTACTATAAACTTTGTTACAGTAGAGATGAAGGCACTTAGGACTGCATATTTCTTTTTGAATACAAATAAAGGTTTAATTAGCACTTACTGCTTTGTAATCTCACAAGCTGTAACAGATACCAACACTTCCGCCTGAAATACCTTCCTTTTAAAAGAAAGAAGTGCTTGTAAAATCTTGGTTACTTGTATTTGCTTGAGTTAGAGATTTAGATAATTGCCAATTAGAAGGTAGTTAGTTCAATCTGTCACTTGCTGAGGAAATATTACCACAAAATATCACAAAGATTTAAACACAGAAAACATCTAGATAAACAGGGAAGTAACTCAGTGTAACTTTAATAAATCAGACAGATCTTTATTCTACAGAAATTCTAAAATTTCAACCCTTTTCAATGATCTGGTTCTAAAAAATAATTTGTTGAAGTGATAAATCAGGTTTCTGCCAAAGTACATCAAGAATTCAAATATCTGATGTACAACTTCAATGAGTGCAGGTAAGTGTATGGCTTTTCTGCCATCCATGCTGTTTAAATGTCACAATGTAAAATTTGTGAAGTGAAGTGAGGTCACATCATATGCCTGTCTTGAGAGACTTCCATGGAAATCTCAGTTTTCTGATCTGAAATTTATGTATAACTGAACAAAACAACAGGTTTCTCAATCCCTCTAGTTAAAAATAAGTTTATAATGAAAATACAAACCATCAGAAAAAATATTGCTCTATGAACAAATGTTTTAAAAATCAACTTATATTAAAGACTTTCTATTGTATCTATTTTCTGTTCTATGGTATCTTTTATAAATGTAGCTTCATTAAAATGCACAAATGTTAGTCTTAGAATCAAGTAGACAAGAAAGCAGATGGCAACAATGCTAAGGAACATCTGCATCTTTGGGGTTTTAAATCTCTTACTTGTTTGTAACTAACAGTGACAAATTGAACATTAGAACAAAAAGTGCAGTTTTCTGAAAATCAATCAACATCAAAGACGTCAAACACTGTGATTCATAAAACTTTAAAGACTGTAATTATCCTGAACAGCTTCTTAAAAAAAAAAGAAAAAAGACAATGACTGGAATTTCTAGAAGCAGGTTATTAGTTACAGCCAGTGGCAAGATGTGCAGAAGGATCATCCAAAGTGAATTCCTGACCTGCATAAAAGGAAATGCTGGAGAACAGAGGGGAAAACTGCAAAAGGCCCTGGAGCCCTTCTCTTGTGTGAAGCTTAGCTATGTTACAAAGCCACCAGAAACAAATAGTATCCCCTGCAGCAAAGCTTTACATTATGGACACATACCCCCCACCACCACCTTCTAGCAGACTTTAAAAATGGAGAAACAGCCACCAATCTTCTTTGGACTTCTGTATTCAAATACTTAATTCCTTTTCAATTATTTTATTTCACTTTGCATATTCTGGC